TGAAGGAAAGAGAATCCCACCCACCCACGACCCCGCTAATGAGCCCTGATCTCCCCAGGACACCACCTAAGCTTCGTGATTCTGTGCTTGAGTAATACTATCACGTGGAAATATATGGTTTTTTTTTTAGTTTTTTTAATAAAAATAATGCATGCTCTTTGTGAAAAAGGAACACAGAAAGGTAAGAGGCAGGATGCGAAAATTCTCAGTAGCTCAACTGTCTCTCACACACATACACACACACACTACCACCATCAAGAGATGACCACTGTTCAGCATTTGGCCATATCCATCTGTTTATATACATGTATCAGGGGTGGGGGTGGAGCGGGGGTGGGCACACAAAAAATGAAATTGCACTGGGTGGAACAGAATTTTTGAAGCACGCATTTTTCCCACTAGGCAAGCATTGAGCAAGAAGGTTTTCTCTGGTCACAGTGAATTTTTTCATAAAAGCAGTTTCACACGAACCTTTTATTTTGTGATGGTCTATTTCAGAGAACAGCACGAGCCTGTGAAATTTTGTTTCCTACTCGGGAAAAATGTTGCAGAAACTGTTGTGATGTTGAACACAGCTTGCCAAGACAGTGCTATGGAGTAAAAATCTCCAGTGTTGTATGAGTAGTTTTCTCATTTCAATAAAGGTGAAATGCCAATTGATGACAAACCTCCTTCTGCATGTCCTTCAACTTCCCCAGTGGACAAAAATGTCAACTTGTAGTGCATTTGGAGTTAATTCCACCAGGTCAGACTGTTAATCAAGCTTTCTATGTAGAGGTTCTGAAAAGATTGCATAACAGTATTCGACAAAAAGGGCTTGGTTTGTGGCAGACAGGACACTGGTTTTGCCACCATGACTATCCCCTGCTCACGCAGCCATCTCAGTGTGCCAGTTTTTGGCAAAAAACAGCATGCCTCTCTTGCTCCACACTTTACTCACTTGACTCTGTGACTTCTTTTTGTTTCTGCGAATGAAGAGGGACATGAAAAGACAGTGATTTGACAATGCAGAGGAGTTGAAGGAAAAAACTAGGGAGGTGCTGTCACCCATCCAAAAAGATGAGTTTGAAAAATGTTTCCAAGAATGGAATTGCAGATTTAACAAATGCATTAAGTATGATGGAGAGTACTTTGAAGGTAATAAGGTTGTTTTGTAGGAAAAATCATTACATAGCTTTGAAAACAATTCAGGGTTTTGTGGGTACCCCCTCGTATGTGTATATATAAGTATAATATACACATATATGTATATATACATGCACACATATGTGTATCTATATACTCACACATTGAGCTTCATATGGACTCCTTTACTCTGCATTGGAGGAACCTAAGGTCTTCCCTAGAGTCACCCTTACAGTTATTAGAATGGTGCTGGGAAGACACTGAGAGCTCCCAAACATATCTGAATGCTGGGACCCAGTGCAACGTCAATACTGGGAAAAGAAACAGTCTGAGATACAGAGCTCAGCCCTGGTGGACCTACCACCCTGCAGAGGAGAGGCTGACCTTGAAGAGAATTATAAAGTCTGCCTAACCTTTCTCCTCGCGTGCTCTCTGTGGGCATTAGGGCTAATTGTTTCCTCTTGCAGTGGAAATGCCCCTATGTATACTGGTATATTACCCATGTATTGCAAGCACCCTCCTTACATAAAAGTCAAGCAATATAAAATAAATCTCAAACGAAATGCATGGCGAGATGGTTGTTAGACAGTGAGCATCAGGAAACTAAGAACAATGATCCCCAAGGGAAGCAGAGCACCTATAAAACGAGTCCTACACTTGTCATACCATACTTTCCACATAGCCACAGTTTAGGGAAGGGGAACGCAGAGCCCCGGAATCTCCTTTGGTTGAGACCACGTTGAGAGTGTGGGAAGAGAAGTGTCGAATAGAATATGTAGCTCAGCACACTAGGGAGAAAAGAGCTGCAAAGAGACTATATAGAGTGTGGCGTTGAGGGGAAAGATCACAGGGAAAGCCCCCCAGACACCTACAGATGGTTCCTCAAGTTTTCAGCTGAAATCTGATCAGATATGGAAGTAAAGTACCCAATTACATGTATATGAGGAAATTGGGTCAAGGACCACCTAGAAAGGACAGGTCAACCAAATGACACCAGGAAGAGCTTGAGCCCCCACCAATGGGTCTAGGCAACCCTTACCGTAATAAAGAGGGCATCAGGTAAAGTCCTCAGAAGAATACTACCTCAGTGACCTTCATTGCCTTCAAATTGACAACCTATGTACAGAAGAATGAAACACTATATTGTACTGCACCATCTTTATGATCAATGCTATGGTCAAGTCCATTGTTGTGGCCACTATGTTTTGAGTGCCTTTCAATTTGGGTGTTTATCTTCATTCTGCAACACATGGTCTGATGTGATCCGGAGGGCAGGGGGGTCTCATTGGTTAATTTTCATAAGCAGATAGCCAGACATTTCTCTGTGACTATTTTCGTCAGGAAGCTCTGCTGAAACCTGCCCACCACAGATGACTGCTGGTATTTGAAATGCCAGTGACATAACTTCTAATATCATAGCAACACGTAAACCAATATGATACAACAAAGCGATAGACAAATGGTGAATTCCCAAATAGCCTCCAAGTCAGATGGTGAACCTTATAAAAGGAGACTTCAGCAACTGTACTCCGGCCAGAATGCAATGTCTTGTCATTTGATCTCCCTAGGAAACCAATGTGAATTTATTCTCAATTTTTACTATTCTCTGCTTTCTATTAGATTGAGGTCTCTAACGGTCATTGTTGGTGGATTCTAACTTGGTGTCTGCCCTAGTGTAGTCTGGTTATCTGTATAGGGAACCTGGGATTGAATATAAAAAGATAGTGACGGATTGATTTACCTGGGGGCACAGGGGCAGGGCTGGAGGGTGAGAAATCAACATTGATGTGTAGAAAGAGGGGAGGGGGGATTCCAAAGTTGTGCACATGCTTGAACCATTGAATTGTATGTTAACTGTAACTCAATTTTAAAAATCATTTTATTGGGGGCTCGTACAACTCTTATCACAATTCACACATACATCCACTGTCAAGTACTTGTACATTTGTTGCCATCATCATTCTCTTCAGTCCTTGGTATCAGCTCATTTTTCCCCTCCCTCCCCGCTGCCTCCTCTCTCATGAACCCTTGATAATTTATGAATTATTATTTTGTCATATCTTACACTGTCCGTCTCCCTTCACCCACTTTTCTGTTGTCCATCCCCTACAGAGGGGGTTATACGTAGATCCTCGTAATTGGTTCCCCCTTTTCTACCCCTCCTTCCCATCTACCCTCCCAGTATCACTACCACTGGTCCTGAAAGGATCAAGTTTTAGATTGCCTGTGTTTCCAGTTCCTGTCTGTACCAGTGTACATCCTGTTTTAGCCAGATTTGTAAGGCAGGATTGGAATCATGATGGGGGGGTGGGGGGTAAGCATTTAAGAACTATAAGAAAGTTATGTTTCATTGTTGCTACACTGCACCCTGACTGGCTCGTCTCCCTGTGACCCTTCTGTAAGGGGATGGCAGTTGCCTACAGATGGGCTTTGGGTCCCTACTCTGCACTCCTCATTCACAATGATAGGACTTTTTGTTCTTTGATGCTTGATACCTGATCCCTTCGACACATTGTGATCACACAGGCTGGTGTGCTTCTTCAATGTGGGCTTTGTTGCTGCTCAGCTAGATGGCTGCTTGTTTACCTTCAAGCTGTTAAGACACGAGACGCTATATCTTTTGATAGCCAGGCACCATCAGCTTTCTTCACCACATTTGCTTATGCATCCATTTGTCTGCAGCGATAGTGTCGGGAAGGTGAGCATCATGGAATGCCAGTAAGTCAATTTTTTTAAATAGGAAAAAAATGAGCACAAAAATGAAGACATTATTCTAAAATTGTGCTGACTGCACAATTCTTTTTATTATGTTTAAACAATTGAATTTTATGGTATATGAATATGTCACTAAGACTTAAAATTATAAATAAAAAAGGTTTGTTCCACATACACAGATTTAAAAAACAAAAACCAAGGCCATAAAGTTGATTGCAATTCACAGTGAGCTCATATAGAATTTCCAAGGCTGTAAATCTTCACAGGAGCAGACAGCCTCATCTTTCTTCTGAAGAGCAGCTGCCAAGTATGAACCACTGACCGTGAAGTTAGCAGCTACCCAGTAGCACTACCAAGGCTCATAAGTGAAAGATACTTTGTCTTAAACCATGGATACCAGTTGTTGATAGAGAACAGGATTTATTAACTAGGGATATACCTGACTTAAAAAAAACAAACCAAGATTTGTATGAAGAAAACTACAGAACACTATTACAAGAAACCAAATGGAAGAATATCCCATGCTCGTGGATTGAAAGGCTCAATATAGTAAAGATGTCAGTTCTGCCCAAGGCACTATATAAGTTTAATGCTACCTTGATACAAATACAATCATCTTTCTTCAAAGAATTGGAAAAACTGGTTACCAACTTCATATGGAGAGGGAAGAAGCCCAGGATTAGCAGAGACCTCCTCAAGAAGGACAAAGTGGGAGGCTTGCTTTACCTGACTTTAGCACATATCATACAGCCACAGTGGTTAAAACAGTGTGGTATTGGTATAATGATAGATACTCAGATCAATGGAAAAGAACTGAAAACAGAAATAAAAGCATCAGCACACAGACAACTACTCTTTGATAAGAGTCCCCCAAAAATATCAAATGGGAAGCAGATGCCCTCTTCAACAAGAGGTACTAGAAAAAAAATGACTATGTACCTACAGAAAAATGAAGCAGGACCTTTACCTCACTCCATGCACAAGAATAAACTCAAGGTAGATGACAGACCTTGAGGTAAAACCCTAAACTATTAGGGCCATCAATGAAGAAACTGGGACAAACCTGAGAACTTTGGCACAGGGCATACATAGGCTACTGGAAATGTACAAATGTGCTTGACACAATGAATGGATGCATGGATTGTGGTAAGAGGCCCCAATAAAATGATGTTTTTTAATGAAAAAGAAAATAGAATTTATTTTCACATTTAAAGTGAACACAAAGAAGTGTTCCAGAGATGTTTCATATACAAGTGGGTAGATTGATTAAAACCAAGCTTTTGTGTACACCATTTATTTCTTGGAGAACACACGGCACACGTGCAGGCTGCTTCCAGCACAGGAATTCACATTGACAGCGCAGCTCACATTGGGTCTGTTTCCACCACCACAGCAGCTCTCACAAATCACAACAGCAGTTTCATATCTGCCGAAAGGGAGGGAAGGAGGGCCTCGGCTATAGGGACCTTCACAAAGCCCAGAAAATCTGTTTCTAAAGCCAAGCCACCAAATCCAGGTCCCACCCTGGCTTGGTGTAGGATCACAGTTTTCATCGTCAGTTAATTTCACCTATATTATTCTGAATAGGAAGATGAAATTAAGCCTTTGTTTGGCAACCGGCTTTCCCTTTGATCAAGGAAAAGGCAAAAATCTTCCCTGTCATGCCACTGGTGCCACCACTGCTGAAAGCATAGTTGCACTTGGGCCAGGCTATTGAAGCCACTGCTTGCCAAGGGGTGGAGGGGCCCTCCTGGCTACATGGGCCTATAAGAATGGGCCATGAGGAAGGTGGGCACTGGGGAGGCAGAGGGCTGGTATTCCTGAGAGGCCTACCCCAAGCACACAGTGGTGGTTGAGCAAGCAGCAATTAACTCTCAGGCTCTTCAGAGACCCCAAAGCCATTACCAGGTGAGTCAACACTCCTGCACGGCTGCTACCACCTTGGCACGTCTGGCGCCAGGTTAGCTCAGCTGGCCACAGTCTGTGATGACAATCTTCTTGGCTGTCTTCCCGTTCTTGGAGCCAAAAGATTCTATTTTCTTCACAACATCCATGCCCTCTTTGACGTGGCCAAATACAACATGTTTGCCATCCAGCCTGGAGGAGATGAACCAAGTGAGGAGAATGGAACTAGCAGAACCAGAACCAACTGCCAAAGAGCTGAGCCCAACTCATGCAGACCTCTGTGTGTCGGAGCGGAGCTGTGCTCGAGGGCTTTTAATAGTTGATTTTTCAGAAGTGCAAAGATAAAAATTCCATTTTTTTTAATTCCATTTTTCCCCCCACACACTTTTTCCCCCCATATACTTTTTAAAGCAGCCTCATCGATCATTAAGCCTTTATTTTGAAGCAACCCTGGGTGAATTAGAACTGTCGATATTTTAGTTAGCAGTTAAATATGTTAATTATTTGTACCGCTGGGGTTTCCAGGCAGAAAAGGGGATAGCACAATGTCACTAGCATCACAACCACTTGGGAATGAACTTAGTGACCCAAAGCAGCCACTCAAAAGGAGCTCACCCTGAAGAGCTGGACCCACAGCCCACAGTTTCGGTCTCAGACCTGGCTGGGCTATCCTTGTTTCACATAGGAAGCCAATGGGATATTGAGTTACTACGAAAAGATGAGAACTCTAAGGCCACAGAACTATTTGAACAGTTATTAAGTAGGAAGTCAGGGCCAACGTGACTAAAAAATGTGGTGAAATTATGCAAGCTGTGGGTGGAGATGTTCTGAGCAGCTGTTTGAGGGAGTTCTAAGAAACTAAAAGGCAACAAAGTCTAGCTCCAGTTAGGCCAAGCCTGGCTGCAGCTGAGGGCAAACAGCAGGGTCCATTAAGGACCCTATAGAAGAAACAAAGAGCAGGCCTGCCCCCACTCCCACCCCACCCCATCCATGTCTGTCTGGCTTGCTGGCTAGAACCTCCAGGAACTTGTCTCCCCTAAGTCTAGGGAAGGGCAGGAAGGCTGAGATTCCAGCCTGCTGTTGGTCCCTCAACCCCAGGTGCCCAGAGATTACAGAAAGCTTGAGACTCTGGTGGGGAAAAGACTACATAATGCTTACAAGGAGGCGGCTTCCAAAAAGGTACAAGGAAAGTTATCTATCTATGAGTGACATTTTATCAGGTGAACTATTTAGGTATGCGGACAAGAGAGCTCCAGGGTGAACCCTGGTAGTATAGTAATTATGTGTTGAGCCGCAATCCTCCTGGTCGGCAGTTTGAAACCACCAGCAGTTCTGTGGGAGAAAGACTGAACTTTCTACTCCAGTTAACAGTTCCAGTCTCGGAAAGCCACAGGGGGTCGCTATGAGTCAGGGTTGACTCCAAGGCAGTGAGTGAGAAGGGTGGTGGTAGCTTTCTGCTAAGTCTATGCTAATATAGTAGCTGGATGAAATGCCCACTGCTGTGCTTTCAAAGGTGCACCTGCGCCTGAAAGATAAACCCCGGCAACAGTACTAGACCAAGACCAGGCTTTGACTGCAGGTTATCTGGAGTCTTAACACACCCTGCAGCATTTCCCAAATATATTTGGTAGAAGGACCTTTCTCTTAAACCCCCACAAAAAAACATACTTTGAGAAAGCTGTAGCTAACAGGAACACTGGGAAGCCTAACTGCAACAGAGCTGCAGGCGTAAGCCAGTCCTGCCCTAGCCTCTGCCTTTCATACAGACAGATACCCACCCAGGTGAGGGCTGCTACCCCAGCATAAAGGGTTCTGAGGAAAACTGACTGCATCAGAAAGCACATCACCCCTCCTCTACGGCGGCTTCTCATTCCAAAATGTCATGTGTCAGGACTGAGGGACTCACCAGTCTGTCTTGATAGTGCAAATAAAGAACTGGGAGCCATTGGTGTTTGGGCCAGCATTCGCCATGGACAGGACACCTGCAAAACAAGCAGTGGTGAGCTCACTGGGTCAGTAAGGGGCAGGCCGGAAAGGACTGAGCAGAAAGCCAGGCTTTTCTATCTTCTACCCTCAGTTTTGCTTAAAGACACTCTCCCCCCTCGTGTTCTCAATGGAAAGTCTGTTTCTTACACTGAGAACTAAGAATACGAAAACTCTAGGGAAACTCAAAAGACAGGAATACTGGGCCAGCTGGGGAGATGTTGAGCAATAGGAGACGGCAACCTCCAGGGCCTGCCCTGGTGGGTGGGGCTGGTGGCTCCCCAGCTGGGTGGGAGCGGAAGGGACTCACTCACCTGCTCCCACGTGTTTCAGCGTGAAGTTCTCATCAGGAAAGCGGCTCCCATAAATGGACTTGCCACCTGTGCCATTGTGGTTGGTGAAGTCGCCTGCCTAGGGAACACAGAGCGCCTTGAGGGGCCACCACTAAGCACCAGCAGCCATCCAGGCCACCCCCAGGCCCGCCCAACTAGAAGCCCCTCTGGTAAAGTAGTCAACAGAAATCCAAGAAAATAAGGACTAGTTAAAAAAAAAAAAAAGAGGAAAAGTAGAGCTTAAATATTTCCAGCCATGCAAATACCCTGGTTTCTAAATGACTTACTCTGAATAGTCCAGCAAGTCTGGAGATGATCTTAAAGGGCGAAATGAAGGCCATTCTAATACAATTGCCATCACTGTTGTTAGGGGCTCTCAAGTCAGTTGCAACCCATAGCAACTCCTAGGGACTCTATGCACAACAGAATGCAACACAGCCGAGGTCCTGCACCGTTTAGACAATTGTTCTTATGTTTGAACCCATTGTTGCAGCCACTGGGTCAATCCACCTCCCCCAGGGCCTTCTTCTTTTTCATCGCCCCTCCATTGTGCCAAGCAGGATACCCTTCTCCAGGGATTGGTCTCTCCTGACATGTCTAAAACACATTCGACGGTCTTGCCATCCTTGTACTTTCAATATTCTTCACCAACACCATAGTTCAAATGCATCGATTTTTCTTCGGTTTTCCTTATTTTATGTCCAACTTTCACACGCACTACCACCTTAGTCCTCAAAGGAGCATCCTTGTTTTTCAATACTTTAAAGAGGCAGGGTCACACAATGTAATGCAATGCTGGACCTCTTGCCTGCTGTGTCCACGAGCATTCATTACGGACCCAAGCAAGGGATAATCCTTGATTTTCTCCACTTATCAGATTTTTGGTGACCACAATTTCTAACCCACATCTCTGGGAGAGGAACCAGGAAGGTGGTAAGGGACTCCCATTCCTGAGGCTGGTCTATGGGGGAGCAGCAGCAGCTGGTTCAGAGCCCATCCCTTGTTTAACTCCCCTCTCGGTCTCTATTTCTACACATCCTTCTTCACCAGCCACAGGGTTGTCCTGGGGTCCCAAAGTTCTATGACAGGGTTTAGCCAGGGCTGGGCCTCCTCCCTCAAAGGCTCAGCTAAGGCCCAAATAGCCCTGTAGGACTTCTGCAAGGAGCTGTGGGCTGAAGAACCCAGGATCGGCCCCTATATCCAGTGCCCAGGGCTGTTTTCCTGAGACAGGTTACTCAAGTGAGCAAAGTGACCTGAGCAATGTGTCCCAGGATGCATAGCTCAAGATCATGGCCTGGGTTTTTGATGCCACCAACTCATGCTACATAGAACCCTCCACCTTTCGAGTCCTTGTGAGTGAGTGAGAAGACCCTACCCTGGCAAATCAGCCTACACTACCCAACAGCCTCAGCCAGGCAAGGGGTACTTGTCCAGGCCTGTCCAACACCCAAGGCCTTCCCCCTCCACATTCATGCATAACTGTATCTAGGCAGCACAGCACAGCTGCAGGCCCAGGCCCAGCCCCAGCCCACTCACCATGATAATGCTGACAGTCAGCAGGTCAGGGTGGAGTAAAGTGGAAGGGAGAATTCTGGGCGGAAAGGACATCAGAGAGATCATGTTGACATCCATGCCCCTGCCTTGAGGCTCCACTGGGCCCAGGACACCTGACCTTGAAGACTCTGCTCTAACAGAGGGATCCTAACATTGCTCAGTATCTAAGTCCTGGCCCAATTACTGGTGTCGGCGTGTACCTCAAAACCGTTGATTCAGCAGTACTAAGTCTTTTGAAAACCAGGCAGGTTACACAACTAAAGAATAAGTGCCCTGACCCGGAAAACAATGCCCTTTCCTGACCCAACCTTTCTGGGAAGTGCAGCTCAAGTCCAGACATGTCTGCTCAGTATCCCCTTTCTCCTCTTTAATTGTCTTTATCAAGACTCGAGGGAATATGGGCAAAGGTCACCTGGGGCTGTAAGAAAACAGGTAAGTCCTTCCAAGGCTTAAGATCTAACCACCTACCCCCTTCCCTCACCAGCTCAACCATTCCAGCCTGGTTGGGCAGGGCCCTCTGGTCTCTGGGGCCAGGGGGGTTTCCAAAGGGATCCGAACAAGCTACAGAAAGGGCATGAAGCACGTATTGAATCTTCCGAACAACCCCGAGGAAGCCACTACAATTATCCCCTTCACAAAAGAGGAAACGAAGGCAGAGGGGACCCTGTTACCTGGCACATGAAGGATGGAATCACCCTGTGGAAAGTTGAGCCTTTGTAGCCAAAACCCTTCTCACCAGTACACAGGGCTCTGAAGTTTTCTGAGGGGTAAAGAAGAGGCAAATAAGCAAGGCAGCTCCAACTAGCTGCACGGAAAGACCCCATGCCCATACATGGTTCTGTTGATCCCACTTGCTGTGCCACATAAGGGAACTCATTTCCCGTCTCTGATCTCAGTGTCCCAAGTATAGTGGCAAGGGCACTTGCTACTGGTTGTTCTAGCAGCCAATTGCCTCCCCTTGCAAGGTCATCTCGGCTGGGATTCAAAGGGGTGTGCAGCCACCACCATGCCCCATTAATTAGGCACCAGGGAGGAGAAACGGGGGTCTAGAGAGGGATAGAAAGTTGTCCCAGAGCACCTAGCAGTTGAGCCCCAGGTAGAACTCCCTCTGGTCGCCAATTGCCAGCACCCTGGCTCATCTCAGCCTCTACCAGCCTCTCCTGCCTCCCCTTTCCTCTAAACCAGACGAGAAGGCCCAGTCAGTGGCTTACCTGCAGTCTTTGGCACGACATCTGCTTTTAGCTATGGGGCGAGAAGTAGAACACAAAAAGGGTCAGTCCAGAGGGAAGGGAAGGAAGGAAACTTCTACCACCCAATCTCTCCAGAAGCAAGAAAAACTTCAAAACCAAACGCACTGCCACCGAGTCAATTCCTACAGACAGTAACCGGACTTACAGGGCAGAGTAGAACTGCCCCCGTGAGTTTCCAAGGCCTTCAGCCTTTACAAAAGCAGAAAGCTTCCTTTTCTTCCTTGGAGCGGCTGCTGACCTTGTGGTTAGCTGCCCAACTCAGAGCCCACACCACCACCAGGGCTCCTTACAGAAGAAAAACCGATAAAACAAACGCATGGCCATGAAGTCAATGCCGACCCACAGCTACGCTATATGGCCCCCCGTAGGTTGCCTGCCTTCCTTTATGGGAGAATAAAGCCCTGAAGGGCTGGTATGCGCCTGTGGCCATTCCCTCCCAGTGTGGGCCCTCCCAACAGCTATCAGTCTGGCAGCTGCTTCCTGAACTCCAGCTGTCCTCAGTTTCCTCATCAGTCAAAAGCGATGACAATGCCATTCTGGCCCACTTTCAAGAGCAAAACCAGCAGAAAGTACTACCACTGGTTCCAGAGTCTTAGCGCCTCAATGTCTGGAGAGAGAGCCCTGGGAGACATCTAGATGCTTTTGTTTGTTTTTCTT